AAATCTTTTTCCAAACCATATCCAGTTGTATACATTATGGATTCACCTTTGCACACAGGTTCCTCTCCTCGCCAATGTCTGTCTGCCCCACAGATTCTAATCCGGTTCATATATGAGGGAATATCGTAACCCGCTGAACATGTATAGGAACAAATACTCCCAAACCTGTTACTGTCTGTACAAGTCCTGTATAACTTGCCTTCAGTTGACGGTAAGGCCGGACAAGTGACCTCTGAAAAGAAGAATTACATGTAATTCATTTTCAATTAAATTTTATCTAAGTCTAAATTCTGTATCTGGAAATCCTACGCATACTTAGAGTTCACTTTCTAACCATGAAATTATTAAGCAAAAATTAATTGTTAAAAGTTTTTTTTACAAAAGAAGAAGAGAAGAGTTTGGTCTACAGTACTTTGTTTGACTGAATTGCTAAACGTCATAAAGATTCTTATTTACAAGTATTTTATTAGGATTTGCCACCCTTCGAATTCTCTAACTTGTTATTGTTCGTTTTATAAAGTTTTATATCACAAAATTGACTCAAGCTTGACTATTCAAGCTGAGTCCTTTAATTTGTTTCTTGATTAAATGGCAATTTAATTCTTAATACAAGAATTTAATCTAATTCTTAAAAATAATTCACTTTTTAGCACTGGTACTTTGTTTCCATGGTAACACTGCAAAGTAGCAATTATACCCAATTTTTCTTATGATTTTGGTGTTGCAAGGTCCTAAGGATGCATATTTGCCAGTCTTGAATTTTCATGTTTTTCCTCAAGATAGTAGCATTAACCCAATCTTAGTTACTGGTTTTGCATGGTTACACTGTGTTACCATGGCAACCATAAAAGTTATTTATAGAATAATATTGCTTATACTTATATACTTAAGGTCAAACATTTTCATTGTTTTTCTTAAGTTGTTGATTGAGTTTGAAGCTGTAACACCTACCATTAGTGAATACGGAGTGTTTTTCAGCATATTTCAGCATTTTAAATGTATTCCAAATGTACCCTTGGTTACCACTTACTTAGAGATATATTCTAAACAGTTTCTTTACAGTATAAGTGACATCAAGGTGTCATCTTTTGTTAGAATGGTTTGTTTGCTTTTTCTAGCATTTATTAAGCCACAGTCAAGATTTAAAATGGCTGAAAATCTTGATTTTTCAAACTTTTCCGGCTGTTGCCATAGCAACCGAGACACATAGCAACGAAATTTTGTTTGATATTTGTTTCTGGTGTCAAGTACTAAGCATGGGTGAAGTTTCATCAAAATCGGTGACCATGCGTGGCAACGAAGTTTAAGTGGTCACAGAGAATGGCTATTAACACGATAAATCAAGTAAAATTAATATCTTTCAAACACGTACTTTTACAGTAAGGAGAGTCATCAGACCAAGATTCGTCTATTCTGCATTCTAGTTCGTGAACACTTCCAGCAATTTCATATCCGCTGTAACATCCATAGCGGCATGTCGTTCCATAAATCATTTCGTTACTAGGATGGCATATGTAGTAGCCGTTGTTAATGCTCTTAGGCCATTGACATTTTTTAACTGATAATAAAAATAAAATCAAACTTCAAATAAGCATATCCTTATGTTATATATTTGTTCAAAAATTTAATATAACTTTAAACACCATTTTCCAGTTGAGAATATTGCGGTATATTTGCAAATAAAAACTTTTTTTTAAAAAAAGTGCTTCGACCTTTAAAAAAAGGAAACGAGTTTTCTTTACACATCTAAATGATTGTTTGATGAAGAGGAAAAGGACTTTCTGAATTTTAAACCAATTTATATACAGTGAAACCTGTCTAATCCGACATGCACTGGGACACAAATTTTGTGTCGGAATAGACAGGGTGTCAGATTGCACAGTGTTAAAAACAAAGTACTAAAAGGAAAAGAATTTTAAAGTTGGAATTCTCAGTGTATCGGATTGCGCAGGTGTCGGATTAGACAGTTTTCACTGTACATGTACCCGCATGGCGTAGTGGTCCTAATGACACGTAGTAAAAATTTTATTCTTACGGAATACTGAATTCTCATTGTCCTTCTTACTGAAGGACGATGAGAACGGTCCTTTGCAAAAGTCCGCTTGCCACAGAAAGGGCTAGCACGTAAAAGATTCCTCACAGCACATTAACCCTGAGTGCCCATTACAGATCTACATTTGCAGCCCTCCATCAGCAAATGCTTTGGTGGCATCTCTATATGATTAATAAGTTCTCGAAATGAACGTTACATCACCATCCATTAAAAAAATCAATAAATTTAGCCAACTGGAAAAGTTGTTCAGTGGGATACCAAACTATATTTTGTCGTCAGAAGTGGTATAATATTGGCACATTGCATTCTGATGTTTAAATGAGATCACTTATTTTCTCAAATTTGCCTGTTTAATTCTTCGGAGAAAAAAAATATATATTCATATGGCATGTATAGTTTCTTAGGGATGGAGAAAAGTTCGCTGCAATCTTTTCGTTTAACGTCACCTGTGTTTCAAAAACCTTCCTTCCTTTTACTATGAAGTAGAGTGCAGGATATGCCATTTTTTTCGAAAAATAAGAAATGTTTTGAAAAAAAAATTAACATCAGCATGTGCGTGTATGTTTGTCTACCGTACTAATTTTGCAGTTGTAGGCTATATATGATAATCTTTGATTCCTTATATTAGAAAGTAAGAACGTATAGAAAGTAACCTTGCTTATTTTACTTTATTTATGGTATAAAAAATATTTTGAATTTATTTTAAATATTTCTCCAAATAGTCTTTTTATCTCCTTTATTAATCTGAAAAGTGAATTTAACAAAACAAAAAAATCATTAAAATAGGGTTCACTTTAGAGAAGCATTATAATATTCAAAAAAGCGTAATGACCTTTCACATCAATTGAAATTTTACAATAACCCGAATTTCCATACGAATCTGTCGCGTAATATTCAACAACTGATGTTCCGGAAAGATGACGTCCTGGTTCGGGTCCTGATCTTCTATTTACCCTGAAAAAAATCAATATGATTGGTACATAGTTTATCTTTTGAAAGGACACATACATGTATTATGGGTTTCCGGAGCCAAACATGGAAACTGCCACTCTTTCTTTAATATTGAAGGGTATATCCATCTCTTATCAATTTAATAAGACTTTACAGTCTAAACTTTACTACAAAATACCATTGTGCACCTTCTACTAAACTTTTTGATCTGATACAAATTTTGGGCTTCCCAGAGCAAAACATGGACACTGCCATCTTTCTGAAATATTGAACGTCTCATATGCCGAATTCCACTCACACAACTGAATAAAATTTAGTGAGACTTTCACAGAATCTTTATTACATAAACTTTTTTAAAAAAAATTGTTTAAGTTTTTTTTTTCTTTACCGAACTTTTTACTTTTAGTAAAAAATTAAAAAATGGAGCTTATCAAGAATATGTGCTTATTTTTTCTAAGAACTAATAGAACTAAAGTTCAGGAATACCACACTATATATGTAATATAGATACTGTGAAAGTCTCATTTAATTTCATTCAGTGGTATGAGAGATGGGTACCCAAAAGCGTAACAGACGGAAAAACATACAGATAGACGGACATCCCGATTCCCGATCACTATATACCCTTCCACTTTTCAAGCAGGGCTATAATGATATGATTATTTTTGATGATCAATTAAGAAATAAACAACAATGTTAAAAAGTTCTCTGGGAATGAACTTTTAGTTGGTAACGTGATCAAATCCTGTGAAGCCCGAAGGGCTTCTTAGTAGATTTGATTACGTACCAACTAAAAGTTTATATCCCAGTGAGCTTTTTAACATTGTTGTTTATTACTTAGATTTACATTTGAGACGAATGAATTTCGAGTAAAACTGCATTTATTACACGAATGGGCCGCCGTAGCTATGTTGTGACGCGCAATGACCTTGACGTTGTTTAGTCTCGAAAGTTTACTTCTATCAAGCATTCGAATGTTTACATGTACATTCATGTTTAGCAGTCAAGTTCAGGAAATATTTGTGTATAGTAAAAAACAATGATCGCTGCTGAGAATAATCTATTTCATAAGTTCTTGAAATATTTGAGGTCAAAAGCGGTGGTGTCATCTGTTTTAGTTTGCATAACTCCAAAGGAATTTCGGGTTAAAAATGTAAGTGGGGTTTTAGGCTAATTAGAGTATTTTTAAACCTTATTCACATAGAAAAAAGATTAATTGTACATTTCGTGCCTGAAAAAATATCTGCATTGTTTATTATTTTATCGTTAGTAACGTAGAAATATTTCAAAACAAGTTGCACCTGACCGTGACAGAAATATGTAGACAAGATGTCACCTCTTACCCCCTAATAATATTCACACAGAATTGAACACATTTGCTCTTTAATAGGCTCATCTAGGTAAGATATTTGCAAATGTGAATATTAATGTATGAATTAAATCTTATAGGATGTAACAAGTATAATTAGATAACCTGATACTGTTTCCACGATTATCTCTAGCTGTCGGTTCTGTCCATGTTGCTTTCGTATAAACTTGTCCTTTGTCCGCCGTCAATGTTAGTAGTGGTGGACAGTCAAGTGTTGGCGGAGTATTATCTGAAAATTAACTTTAATAATGTTTATCTATTAATTCAAGAAAATTTATGCAAATGTAAGTTTAAAAAAAACTTTTTCAAATAAAGTGATTGCAAATTCACCTCGGCGGCATCCTCCAAATAAACAGACAAAGAATCGAAATATAGCATGAAAAATGTTTCGCCTTTTACGATCTAAACTTGTTGTGACCTGCTTCTTGCAATCTGTTAAAAAATAAAATTATAATGGTTTTTCTAACATGGTTCAACGATCTACACAATGTACACATATATATATAGTGAAATGATTGTTTGTGCTCACTTTGATAGTTCTTTTGATAACTTAAGGTGGACTGCCACACCAACTTTTTATTTTATAGATCTTTGGGTCATCCTTTTTAAACAATGGTTTCAGCATTGAAAGGTCAATATTAGCTCTTAATTATTTTATATGATTTTTTTTTGTATTTTTTCAAAGAAAATGAAAAAAGTTATTTATATCCAAATAAGATGTTTTCGAGTTAAAAGTTTGCTGTAAATGAATGCATTATATGAATATCTAATAATATGTTAAGAAAGGCTGGTAAGACTTTTTAATTTTTTTGATAAAAAATTATTTATAAAAAAAAACACATTATTTGTGATTATTTTTTTTAAACCTATGGTTAAAAACACCATAAAACTAGTCAGAACTGAGGACAACAAGTTTGTCAATCATACTTTAAAAAGAAATTGAAACGAAATTGAGAAATTTTAAAGAAATTATTATTCTTAATATTTTGACCTAACCCATCAAAATTAATACAAAATGAATAAAATGCTAATTTATCGCCTCTTCATGTATTTACAAAGAAGAATCTATTTCATTGTCAAGTTCAATAATGTTTTAACCCTTATTACACCTAATCAGACTAGTGTTCTTGGGAAAATTTTATTTATTTCCAATAATTGTATAATTATGGTTGGGATCGGTTTAATTTTGATCGGGACTGGCCAAAATTAAAAAAATTAATTTCTCTAAAATTTGGCCATTTCGTTTCAATTTCTTTTATAAATATGATTCTCTCCCGTTGTGACTGGTTTTAAGAAGATTTTAACCGCAAGTTAAAAAAATATTCACAAATTATGTGTTTTATTTTCTATAATTTTTTTTTTATCTAAATTATTTAAATATCTTTACAAACAAAGCTGCGGTGAGCTGTTTGTATCTAGGAAATAGTGAGAGACATAAATATCTTTACGGCTTTTCTTTTCATATTTTATTAGGTATTCATGTTATGCATTCATTTACAGCAAAATTTTTACAACAAAGCATCTAATTTGGATGTAAATAATTTTTTTTGATTTTCTTTGAAAAAATACACCAAAAAAAATCATATAAAATAATTGAGAGCTAATGTCGGTCTTTCAATGCTGAAACCATTGTTTAAAAAGGTTGAGTCAGAGGTCTATAAAATAAAAAATTGGTGTGGCATTCCACCTTAAAATAAACTTGCTCTGTTTTCTTAATTCTGTATATATTCAGAATGGTTCTAGTATCTAATTTGAATGTTATTAAAAAGAACAAGGATGAACACAAAATTACTGTGATAGCTTACAAATCGTTTCTGTTTTCTTAGTTCTATATCTATTCAATAAGTAATGTATCTTATTCAGATGTTATTTGAGAAACAAATATTTTCATGCTATTTTTAAAGGTCTTTGGATGACAAAATAACTAATTATTTAATCAGTGTTCAGTGTTTTGATCTTAAGCTAATTATTTTTATGGCCAAGAATTGAATGTGTTATACACTGTAATCATTTTTTAAAAATTGAATTCATTGAAAGCATGTTTTTTTATTTCATAATATGAAAAATGGAATTGAAAATTAAAATTCCAAACAATTTAGACCTGACATTGCCTAGAGAAACTAATTTGCAAAAGAAAGCACTCTTTTAATTTCTGTTACATGAAAAAATAAAATCAATAAATATTTTTAATAAAAACATTTTCAACAACTTACATGAAAAAAAAACATGTAGCTTTAATAATGAAGAATTAAACATACCTCTCTCATTTAACCGTGGCATCCAACTACCATTTGAACAAAGAACTTGATTCAGTTGCATCTCTTTATTGACACACTTTATTAAAAAAATTGTGCCTTTTGGATTTGCAACATTTGGTTTCGTAATATCACTAATGTTGTTGCAGGACAAATTGTTCTCGAACAGCGACTCTGATAAATGACAGGCCATCATGTTTCTCTATAAAATATGAAAGGGGTGTCAAATTAAACTCAACACGGACGTCTTAGAAAACATCGAATTGAAGATCTAGTTCAATATTTTACCCCTGAGATATTCTCATACGCAAAGTAAAAATGTATGAGTCTTGAGACAAATGACCATTGTAATTTACAAAAAGTAAGTTTTGAATGTATCAGTTCTATGCAAATACATAAAGTATAAACTATGTTTATCTTCTCTAAAAAATTTCAAATACTTTAAATTGAATTAATTCAATTAAATCCCAATCTTACTGCATATGATAAAATTTGTATATTCTCTATGTTCTTTCCATAAATGTGCTTTTTATAGGTTGCATTCATTTGTATGATAAAACGTCCTTCAAATTAAACATTTTTATATGTCAATTTTATCAGTAATTTTAGCCAATAGTTAGTCATACTTAAGATATTAAGCTTAAAGCAAAATTTCTTTATCTTTAATAATGATTTAAAGTCGTCTTTTAATGAATTTAAAAACATTTGTATGCTAAAAGCCATAAAAAGAATTTTCTTTTAATAATAACGATGTCATTTTATGAATTTTTGAAAGATGACATCACACCTTTAACAACTGTATGAGGAAGACGATACGGTTTTAAAATAAGATAACAGGATAGAAGTTGATATAAATACACTAGAATGGCATCTACAAGCAAGTGAAAACTTCTAGTTTATAATACTAAACTTTAGTCATTTTTTGTTTGAAAATGTTATTGTTATACATTATTTAGAATTTTAGTTTCACGAGCATTTATCTTTAATCAGTTTGTTTACTAAATACTTAAAACAAAGACACCATATAGTGTGTGTGTACTGTAACACTTCATGAAAATCTCAACAGACATGCATGTACTTGTGCATATACTTTAACGTACGCTGCAGGATTTTGCAATTAGTCTGTTGAGATTTTTACGACGTGTAACAAGTACGTGTACACTGTGATCGGTTTCTTTTTTTCAATTTTTTAGAAGTTTTATTACGTCAGTTTGATTTTAGTTAGTAAACAAAACGTGATTAAAATAAGTGCTCATTAAACTAAACATCCAAAATAATGTATAACAACTATATTTTCACACATAAATTGTCTGATTTTTATCATAAAAGCTACATGTTTTCATTTATGTGAAGATACCATTCTACAAGTTCTAAGAACGTGTAGAAAACTTGTCATCACTAAAAACAAGGTCTGTCGTTTGGCAGGAGAACTAAGGAACATAAATATAATACTCGAGGAATTTAGGAATTCCTCTACTAGACGTACCCCTACACATATTAAATCTCATCCTTTCTATTAAAAAGAAAGTGTACGCGTACATCAAATTAAAGTATATGCACAATTACACGTATGCATACAAGTTTAAGATCTCAACCTCTATATAAGTTTGTGCATGTCATTTATAAGTAATGAGTTGGATTAATCAGGTAAGCTGATTAATTGATCATATTTTTTTTTCATTTAAAGAGAATGAGCTGCGTCCCAATCCAGGATTTCCTCTGACATTCTTGACATCACAGTACGCAAATATTAGTAATAAACAATGTTGTTTCAGTAAACATTGGGTTATGAACAACTTATAAGCTCTGCAGATATATTTATCATGAAGTCTAAACGGACGTCAATAAATTTGTTTGCAGAGCAAATTGATGTTGTTCATGTCGAAATGTTCACTAAAAACATTGTTAATACGAGACAATACTTGTACCTTCAATTTTGTGTCTATTATTTCAGTTCCTTTCTAGAAATTGTCTATAAAATGCAAGCTAAATATACTTCTTAATTTGAGTATCATTAAAAATAAAATACCAGCAGAAGACACTTTACAATTTAGTATCATTTTAATTTTACATGACAGCCTTCTGCCTAATCATAAATGACTTTCCTTTTCAATTGCTTCACATACTTCAATTTTGGAATAGCTTTTAACACTGAAAAAAAAACAACATAACGTTTATTATCGATACCAATGCCTACCTATTAATTAAGAACCCTAGACATATTTGATCCTTTGAATACGCACTAAAAGCATATCATTGGAATTCACTGGTTCACTGATAACAATCGCCTCTTTAACTTGCATATAAAGAGAGATTAGTAAAATTGATTTTAAATTGCCTCATACTATTTTGGGATAATTCAAAGAAAACAAACTACGAATTTGTAAGTGTTAATTAATAAACATGTAATATTGAGCGGAAAATTATATTTTTCTACATTTTTTTCTGTTTTGTAGAGTTAGCAGATTAAAAGTACGATAAAAGCGATTACAGATCATAAATTAGCAGAGGTATTCCGGGTAAGGTAAATTTAAATTGATTGATTGCTTGTTGTTTCCTCTCGAGAATTATTACTCATAAGGAAACGCCACCTCTCGCCGGTGGAGGGCTACAAATGTTGACCTACACTTACGGTCATTGAGCAATGAGGAATTTTATTCGTGCCAGCACCAACTGCGACACGGGACCTGGGTGTCATCCGAAGCACCGGTCTCTATGCACGTCCCACACTGGGATTCGAACCCAAATCAATTTCTTTCTCCACAATCTAAACAGATGCTAAATTGATATTATTTGCATAGTTTTTTATAAATACAAGCGTGCGGGTCCGGCGAGCGTAAATAAATAAGTTAACTTTTTTTTTTTTTTTTGTAAACAATAAGTGTCCTCCTTGAATGTCAAAGTGTGAAATATTATATAGCGATGTATTATAATGGACATTTTGTTTTATGTCTTTGGAGAGGCAGATATTACCAATCAAAATCTAATAAATTAAATTCCGGTTCGTCACTCTGCCTCTTTTCCCACCTACAACCTTGGAAGACGGTCGTTTTCAATTTTGTTATTTATTTAATGAAGTATTTAATGATTGTAATTTTTTTTTTGTAAACAATAAGTGTCCTCCTTGAATGTCAAAGTGTGAAATATTATATAGCGATGTATTATAATGGACATTTTGTTTCATGCTTAAGGATAGGTAGATATTGACCAATCAAAATCTAATAAATTAAATTCCGGTTCGTCACTCTGCCTCTTCTCCCACCTACAACCTTGGAAGACGGTCGTTTTCAAATTTGTTATTTATTTAATGAAGTATTTAATGATTGTAATTTTTTTTTATATCTTGTCTAATGGGCGAATATTTTGTTGTCATTCTTGCTCAATCAATTGTGCGTCGTTGTCATGAATTCTTGAAATATGGTGACATAAGATATTCTGAAAACCATTGTGATTGAAAAATGTATTCCGATTGATACAGGAGTGTGTGTGTAAAGAATGCTAGTAACATGATATCTAAGGATATGGAGAGTGTGTTTGCTTTTGGTCCCGAGGTAGTTGCTTTAATGATTGGGGAGAACATTATGATTCTAGTACAGATCTACGTACGTTTTTGGCCGCAGTAATTGAAACTAGGGTTTTGGTAATGTATCGCCGCTATATTGTTGCAAAAAATAATTGTTTGCATATTATTGCCAAGATTAAATGTTAGTTTTTGGACACTGATGTAGCAGACAGTAAATATTAAGAGGTGTATTGCCATCACTAAGTTATTGTGTATTTAACCTGTGGATTATTTTTTTACCCGTGTAGGGGATTGTAGTCGGAAATTTATACATGATGATGGAGTTCATCTGAACAAACAAGGGAATGTACATTTTGTATAGGAGTATAAGGAAAGTGTTAATTTCAGTGAGAAAATCTTTTTTCCCATTGAAATTAACACCCTCCTTATACTCCTGTTGATATTTTCCGGAAAATGGAATAAGTGTGTACTTTTATCCTTAAAAAGCATAATCTGTTTTCCCACTGAAATTAACACTCTCCTTATACTCCTGTTAGATTTTCCAGAAAATGGAATAAGTGTGTACTTTTATCCTTAAAAAGCATAACAATATTCTGAAATTGTCTTTGATTTGAATAAATGTTTCTTAAATCTTTTCTTCTGTTTAATGCATATGAAGTTAAACATAATTATATATTAGTAAAATACAATGTTCGGTTGTTATGCACTTCAGAGTTGCTGAAAAATAAGCATTTTTGTCGTTTTTGGTTTTTGGGTTGTTTTTTTTTTTTTGGTTTTTTTTTTTTTTTTTTGTCTATAAACATATGCCCCACTCCTCCATGAAACACATAAAGCTTTCGTATGAATTTGTGAAATGACAGTCTAAATAACTCGTAAAAAGGCATTTTCGTTTCACGGGAGGGGGATGATCAATATATACATTAAAAGATCATTCGAATCTCGTATCTTTTGAAAATTGACTTGGAGGTAGGCGGGAGAACAGTACCATCGTTCGCAGTTCTTTCATAGGTAACTGGGCTATCAAAATACTTACTGCATAAATATAAAAATAAATTGCTGTGGATTATTAAAAAACATCTATTTACATTTTTGAGCTACAAAACGTACGCAAAATTAAATATATTTGAGTAAACTGTGTACAAGCTATGTATGCAAATGAGGGTCGACAGCGGCCAACTCTCTGACCAAATATTGTCATATTGGTTGGTTTATTTATCAATTTTTTGTTCACAAATTATATTCAACCTTTTTATCACTAATCTGACAGTTTTATCGGGAAAAACATTAAAATTTTTCGTGTGATATGAAACTAAGATACTTGTAAAAAAACAGATGTCTTAAAGGAGATCTGTTTTATGTACATCTAAACAGAAAAGAAATAAAACAACAGCGTCTAGGATTAACTAAAACTGTCCAAACGGGACAAAATACCCCCGCTGGGTTTTTCAGGAAGTAAGTTTTTCCTTAGTAAAGATATGTATGAAACATGAATTATGAAATTTTTTCTTCCAGTGACCTTGAACTTCCCCAAATGACCTTGGGTCAAGGTCATGACACACCCTTGGGTCATAAGCAATCTTTGTGTAAAATGAGAACCTACCAAGTTTATCCATAAGAAAGATATGGACCGGACACGAATTATGAATTTTTTTTTCCAGTGACCTTGAACTTCT